CTAGTCTTTGGAAACCTTAAAGCCCTCCCCCATGACACACCTGCCCAACAAGGCCACACCTCCTAATCCTCCTGGAATAGTTCTACCAACTGGGGGCCAAGTACTCAAATATGAACCTATTTGGGAACCATTCTCATTCAAACCACCCATGCCACTAAAGAGAATAGAACACCAAAACACATTAATGAAAAGGCATGGATCATTTCCTTTCCCCATTAAATCCATCTTGCTTTTTGTATCTGCTGAGCAGGTGTGAGTAAGGCTTGAATTTAGATGGCAAGTCTCAGTATCTGCCCTTCATGGTTTGAGGCGATACATTCTGAATGTGTCTCTGAGTAGCATTGGCACTGTTAACTTGGTATCTTTTGGAGTAAGTAGTTCTCTCTAAGTCAAGGATTTTCTAAGGTGAGCATTTGATAAACTTCAAATCTAAGTAGCAACAAACTCTACAGTGGCCCCCTCATTCCACAAAACATGACAGCAAATTTGTTTTCTAAAAGGATTTTTGTTTCAAGACAGGGTTTCTGTATGTAGCCCTGGCTGTCCTGGAATTCACTCTGGAGACCAGGCTGGCCTCGAACTCACTGAGATCTACCTGCCTTTGCCGCCCGAGGGTGTGTGCCACCACAGACAGCTCATTTTTTAAAACTCATTCAAGGAGGGAGGGAAGCATAACACATAATGAAATTAGCAGCAACACCTACACACAACCTACAAGGGTTTTGTTGTTCTTTTGTTTAAGATTGAGTCCATTTCCAATTCCTGGGCTGATTTGAATATTTCCTGGGTTGGCACTATAATAGATTTAGACACCATGCCTGGCAGTGCATCTGTGGCAGTGAGAAGGAGAAGCAGTCATGCTCACAATTTGTCTGTTTTAAACAGAAAGACTTACAACTGGTCAACTGAAAATGCCTTGGTTTTACTGTAGTCCCAGACTAGTATTGTTCTGGATCCACCTCCATGGGGAATATGGTATGTATTGAGAGATGAATAAGAAATTTGGGCCGGGTGGTGGTGGCGCACGCCTTTAATCCCAGCACACGGGAGGCAGAGGCAGGCAGATCTCTGTGAGTTCGAGGCCAGCTTGGTCTACAAAGCGAGTTCCAGGAAAGGCGCAAAGCTAAACAGAGAAACCCTGTCTCGAAAAAACAAAACAAACAAAAAAAAAAAAAAAAAGAAAGAAAAGAAATTTGGTTACTTGCTGGCACATGCTCATACATACACTGAACAAGGGCCCTAGGAGGGACCAGTCTTGCAGACTCCTCCTGCCATACAGTGTTTTCCATATGAGTAGCACATGACCGACAAGCCTGGAGAGCCCTTGGAGGGCATGGTTTCTGCCTGAAGGAAGTTTCCACATCTCAGCACTGTAGAAAAACCAACGAGTCCATGGATGGATAGAGGAAGAGAAGTACTGTGGCTCAGGTTCTGGAGATGAGACAAGCTAATGGCCACCAAGGCCTTTGGCTCAATCATTTGCATGTTACATGGATCCAAGCAGCAGGTCACCTGAAGACAGCAAGACTTTCTCAGCATTTCTCTTAAACAGGATGGGAAGACACTGTAATGTGAAGAAGTCCCATGCAAAATGGTATATGAAAGACTGGTAACAAATGGTTAAACATTTTTCAAAGGTATGGATAGACCAAAAAAAAAAAAAAATTAGTTGATAGCAGCAGGCAAGTCTCCAGTCAAAACACTGGGAGGAAGTAGATGTTCTTTAGAGCAGATCCATATTTGGGTACATAGGCAACCATCCCTTTACTTCTGAGTAGTAAGTACAATATAGTTGCTTTCTGGGACTGGCCATTTGTTTTGGTTTTGTTCTTTTTAGAGACAAGGTTTCTCTGTGTAGCCCTGGCTATTTTGGAACTCACTCTATAGACCAGGCTGGCCCCGAACTCAACAAATCTGCCTGCTTCTGCCTCTGCCTCCCCCTTCCCAAGTGCTGGGATTAAAGGTGTGTGTGTTCCACCATGCTAAGGTTTTAGAGACTGGTCATTTGTGAAAGGCACCAGGGGTTATTACAGATGAAAGCTTGAATATGGCCTGGTTGTTAAAGTGTAGGAATTTTT